TGAATGCTTGACAAACAATATTTGAATCAAAAGATCAATAGTGAACGCACTCTGAGCGAATTTCGGAACACGATATAAAATATGCATGTTAAGAATAAGTAATTTCTGATAAGCTTATGTTTTAATATAATATAATTCAATACTGAAGAATATATTAACTCCGATCAAACTATAGTATTAATTCTTTGACAAACTAATTAAATCAAATGATCAACAGGTAGCGCGCTCGGAGCGAATTTTGGAACACTTCATAAAATATTTACAGAGGAAGTACATAATTTGGTAGAGATCAAAATGTATTTAACAAAGTGTGATTGAATTTGACATTGCTCTCAGAAGAACCATCCTATAAAGTGAAATTGAAAATAATTTGTATGAATTTTGAATCGTTTCTTTATATTTTTTTACATTTTTACATAATAGTATCTTAAAAGAGAGCCGCACTGAGTTGTCAATAACACCTTGGGCCGTATGCATAAAAACTAAGCAATTACTTTTTCTCAGATTTTCATACCTTTCACTTAAATTTATTTGAAAAAATTGAGTGAAAGTTCTGAAATTTTAAGAAAACGCATTTGCAGGTTTTATGCATATGGCCCCTTGTTTAATACACCCATGATACAAATATTTAAAGGTAAAACCGCTTGCACAATTCGTCGGCCATCATTTACTTTTTGAACTTTGTCTATTTTATAAAATTGAAAATCTGAGAGCAACTCAAATGCCAAATAAAGGTAAAACAAAAAACAAATAGATGAAAATATTGAAATTTTCATTTATTTGAGACTGATAATGAGAATGTATTTGTGAGATTGAAAATTTGAAAACATTTTTGTAATGTTACCAAACTTTAAAAATGTTCAGGCTGCCTTTCAACGGTTTTACCTTCAGATTTTTGTATCATGAATACACCTTAGTCGAGATATCACGAACAAGTTGTCCTTTATTTATTTTTGCTTAAAATCCTTAAATATGTATCTTGACTTTTTTCTGTAGAATACGTATTCAGCCTCATTGCGTAAGTCGTAAATTAGGCTATTCGACTATCGAAAAACGACTTGCATTCGACACGACTCTCGCAATGAGGGTGATTAATTTTTTTTTTAACGATTTAAAAAAAGGGAGGACAGTCGGATCTACGTAACCAGAACGACCTAAATGCGCATTGAAATCGGTTGTATTTTTTGCTAAAAATTATTTGTTATTATTGAGATACAGTTTCGCTACTATTTAGAGATTTCTCGACATACTTTTTCATATTACTGTTATTTATTATTTTTCTTATTAGTCATTTATATGTTTAGGACTTACTGTGGGTGCTTTAAGATTCACTTTGTAAATATGTATGTACATATAAAAAACCATTGCGATATTTTATTTTAAATTATGAATTTTATTCGTGCAATTTTTTATGTTTAATAGTTTTGAGGACATTTTTTGGTTCTGTTGATTCTTTTATTGCATGCCTTAAAATTTTTTACTAAGTTATAATGTTGAAGATATGCCTTCTGCCTTTGTCAAGCACTTTAGCTAGGTGCGAGAAATTTAGCATATGCGCGTAAGAGCAAAGAGTAGGTATACGGCTGTGCTGCCGCGATTCTCAAACATCTTGTCAAAGGAGAAAACATATTGGTGGCGGAATCCATCGTAGTCCAATTTTTCTTAAAATCTACGAAAAAGCGATCACTGAATCTGAACTGCTATGAACGTGTGTATTCAAAGCAAGCGCTGCGTTCGTAGCTATTCGACCTTAATAGCATTTTCGTAGATTTCACGAAAAATCGGACTACGATGGATTCTATGATAGCCTTGATTAGTTCGTGCGATTATGACTTATGGATCGATTATGGATGGGAACGGAACCTCAGTTGGGTTGCCGATGGACAGCGCCACTGAAATGAAAGTGTTTTTTATTATGAATAGCACTAATTAAGTTTCATAAAGTTCAAGGTGGTACAATTTAAAAAAAAGTTGAAAAAAGAAATAAAGTATCTCAATCAAAAATTCCCGGCAACCACAAAAACGCACTTGCCAATATAGCAACTTAGTTGCCAGCTTTCAGTTGCTAGTTGCCATCGGTAATACCATTTCAGCCACTGGCCAACCAACTGAAGTTCGGTTGTCCTCCGTAATCGACCCATAAAATCGGAATCGAATATGATATGCATGCACGTTCTGCTGAACGATAAATATTTTTTAAATGTGGGTTCTGTCCGCTAACGAATTCCAGCCATGTGTGAAATATCGTATGTGAAGCCTCCGTCTGACTTAACGATTGTCAAAGGCATGCCAGAAGATGTTTCATCATATGTTTTCGGCCATCGTCTTCTTTGAGTAAGTTCATCGATACCAAAAACTTTACAACCTATATTTGCCAGCAGCCCTTAGTGTTTTTGCCAATGACATGGTACTATTGTACTGTTAATAACCAAATTAAGCTGCAGTTGCATTCACACGTCATATAATAGCTAGTGTCGGCAAGCTGTGGGAATGCCCAGGAGATGGCGTTTGTTCAGCTATCGAAATCATTACACCGACGGCGGTGGGCAGCTCTGCTGGAACATATTTACCACAGCAGTGGTTGCGGCGTTATGTTCTGCAACAATAGCCTACAATGATGACATGTCATATAATGTCGACGAACAAAGATATAAAATTTAAAATGACGAACCTTATTCCCAGCCGATTTGGGAGACCACCCTTGGTCACGACCAGAACGCATTTACCAAGAGGAAAAACCGCAGGGATTGCAGTAGTTCTTGCAATCACCGTTGATGATGCTGTGCTTGTAATTAATAGTCTGAAAATACAAAAAAATGCATTAATGAAATCTTATACACATCAAATAAATAAATTTCAATAATTTGTTTACCATTTCACAAACCGAATTACCAAGAAATGGAAACTCACCGCGATGCGATACAGAAATAAAAACCAACAGGGCTGCATTTTCTTGGTAAACAACACAAGCGCTCAGAGCAAACTGATCCGCAAAATTATTTTGTGAAAAATAATAGTTGAAAAGAGTTTTTACACATGATTATCACATTATGTCATAAGTGCAAATTATTGTGAATAATTTTAGTTGCATATAATTGTATTACCTTAGACTTTTTTTAAATGTTTTCTAATATTCATTCTTTTGGGCCGCAAAAGCAACCATGTGCTCAATTTCTTGTGGGGAAATTTGGTCCCCATAAAGGACTTTCACCACGAAACAGCTACAAAAACAAAAACCTTTTCTACTGGTATACTGTGCCTTGATTTGCCAATGCAAACAGTCACATTTGCTGAACTACACTCGAGGTGTAAACATCTTCCAATAGTTGATTACACTGATTCAGAGCCAACAGTCCTAATTGGATTGGATAATTGCCATATTACAGCCAGCTTGAGGAGCTCAGTATATCCAGTAAAAAAACTGTGGTGAAGTCCTTTATGGGGATAAAGTTTCCAGAGGTGAAATTTTAGGTAGCACACAATTTCTTACACGCATGGTTGCTTTTCAGCACTGATGAAAGAAACTTAAGAAATATTTGAAAAAAAAGTTCATATAGTACATTAATTTGGAAAGAAATACCATATAATGTATGTACTCTGGTTAATAATATCAAAAAATGTATTAGAACCACCGTTTAATGTTATATTTGATACAAATTAATATTGCTGCCCCGAACGCTCTGCGCCTTCCCACTGAATAACAGATTTACTTAAAATTACATCCCTGGTCCTTGTTCTTTCTGTATCGCATCGTGGTAAATTCACATTTCTCAGAAATTTGACAACAAAACAAAACAAAGCGAGTATTTTATTTGCTAATTTTTGCGATTTCTATTGTTTAATGTAAATTTGTCTTTTTAGGATATGTCGAGCCAACAAAGAAGGCGCAGTTGGAAAATTTAGTAATTAGTAATGAAGTAGCAGGCATATTTGGAAAATTATGCCGATAAACAGGTTGGAATTTGGGAAAGTAAGTGCATGTTTGCAGCATATCTATGTATAAAAAGTATTTAATTAAATTGTTTATAGAAATGTTATAAATCGAGTGGCTCATTTACGATGTGCTCCAAACATTTGGCGAACTTTTTTTTCGCCTTTTCAACATGCTAAGTAACAAGTTAAGATGACTGCCATCATGGACCGGTAAGAAACCGCAAGCAAAGGGCAGACAACCTTCCAGCAAGCTGCCTCCTGTCCCCGAGCCGAAGCTGCAGTTCAGCAAGAGCAGGTCAGCAAATTGCTACCCTGATCAAACGTAAACTAAAGCGCTCTGCTGTGATTGCACTCCCTAAATGTGAAAACTTGGTGCATGCTGAGAAATATCAAACAAGAAAACTCTGTGATGGACGCCGTGAGATGGAGTAACGCTGTGTGGCAAAGAAGTGCGGCCAATTCGACGGGCCTGAAAAATCCCAATTGGCTTTTGTGATCCGCATCCGCGGTATCAACAAAGTTGCACAAAAAGTGCGTAGTTTTACAGTTCTGTCTTCGCCACATTAAAACGGTGTGTTCATTAAATTGAGCAAGGCAACCATTAATATGCTACGTATGCCGAACCCCCTATATGGGGTTATCCAAATCTTAAATCAGTTTGTGAATTGATGTACAAACGTGGAATGGTCAAGCGTGTCCCAATCTGCTTTGTGATCGAACGCAAATTTCGCGAAGCGCACGAAATTCAGTGCGTTGATTCACTTCACTTCAAGAAAGCTCCCAACTTCCTGTTGCTATTCAAGCTCAACACATCAACCCGAGGCTGGCGCAAGAAGGCTAATCACTAAGTTGAGGTTGGTGATTTCGGTAGCCGTGAGGATAAGATCAATAAATTGCTGCACAAGATGGCTTAAAGAAATTGTTGTTTTGTATTTAAGTAGACAATATAATTTGGCACATCTTCAAAAGACGCCCAAGCAAAAAAAAAGAAGAAAATTAAAAAATTCCTGAAGTTGCCTTTTCACGGGTCGATTTCTGTCGACTGGAAAATTTACTTAAGATATCGACTAGCCAAAACGCTTACATTTTACGGTTGAATTGCTATTTACACGGGTAGATTTTGGTTAAACGACAAAAATCGACCGTGTAAAGGCAGCTTAAATAACGTTCAAATTAATCACCCCCTTTGAGATGGAAAATACCAATAACCATTTCATAATTTCGAAAATTATTCCATTTATATTTGTTCTTGCATTTTCCACACCACTTGTGAGGTATGCTTTTACGCGCGTTACCGATTTTTTTTAATGTGCTCGGTTGCCCAGGAGGCCTATTTCTCCTTTACAACTTAACTTAAACAGAATTAAAACTAAAGCATGCAATATATAAAGAAAATTAAAAGTTGTCTTACATCTAGTAAACTTAAAAAATTGCACATTAAATTAATTTTTCATTATAAAATAAAATAAATATCACAATTCAGTTTACAAAATGTGGTCTGTTTGCACCCACAGTAAGTTCCCATGAAGCCTAGCCTAAATTCAGAATTGAAAAAAAAAACGAGCAAATGGGGTCGGAAACTACTAGCCCTAAAAGCATAATGTGGAAAATGTTTGAAGAGCTGCGAAATTGTATTGCAATAATAAAAATGCATAAATTGGAAAAAATGGTTTTTGGTTTGCTTTATAATTTTTGGGAATATTGGTTCAGATGGAATTTTTTTATTTGTGTGGTTTTTCAGCTCGTTAATGATGCACCCAGGGTTGCATTTACTGTCTATGAAAATATTTCGTGAAGCGTTCCAAAATTAGCTCCGAGCAACTAAAAGTTGGTTAAGCTTAAATGAAATAGTTTTTTATTAAATATTTGTTCCTGGTATTTAGTAAAAAACATCAATACTAATGTATGAAAAACAAAACATCAATGCTAATGTATGAAATGAAGTAAATAAAAATCTACGAATACATTCCATGAATATTTTGTCATAGAGCCATTATTAAATTTAGACATAACATTGTAAGGCGTTGGTACCTTCGTATATAGAATTAATGCGTTGGAGAGAGATAAATATACAAGTTCAACGCGCTAATTTAGGTATCCTTGTATGTATATACCTGTTACTCGTCTGGAATATACTCCAACTGCGAAAATAATGACAATTATAATTTATGTAGATCCCTGGATAAAAGATTGTCACAAGTTACTTTCGGTAACTCACGATTGAAGTTTGGAATGCAATTTCTCAGAAACACGACTACAGATTTTCTCCAAAGTGTCGGAGAATGCTATGTACTAGTTCATGAAATTCTTAAATTATCTTATTTTTTTTAGTTTAGTGTCAACCATTTATGAGTTTAATAAAATTTTGTCGTATACGACATTTGTCAAAAAATTTGCAGTCAGTTTTAGTGATATACGCCAAAATGTGATAACAATTTTTATAAATTAACCATACTTTTTACTAATCAGCCTAATCGTGAGTTTCGCCCGAACAAAATTTCGGCAACAATTTTTTATCCACCTGTAGTGAACACACGCAAACGAAAAGTGACCCGGTTCTAGAAAATGAAACTCATGATAAAGCTGAATATGTCGGAAACTAAAGAAGAACAGATAACTCTATTTGAAAGATCTTGATTAGTTTAGTACGACAGCAATACTAACGCAATTTGT